ACCCAATATGGCGGCTCCTGGAGCAGCTGAGCATCCTGGACTAGAAAACAATAGATTTCTTGCTTCTCCCACAAATTCCCCCAGCTGTGAGTCTTCCAACCTTTTAAATATTCCTGTATATGTGGTTCAGAGTTCTGGGACCATCCCCTGAGCCTGCTTGGTTGGGTATTCTGTGTTGTTGTTGGAGGAGCTCTTTACTACACATCCACTGGATCCGCCATCTTGTTTGTTTGTTCCTCCCCAACTGATTTTTGTATGTTGATCTTTGCTGAATCTTCCAATGAACTCTAACAGCTTTTTTTTTTTTTTTTTTTTTATCTAGGATCATATTGTCTGCTGATGGAGTTTTACTTCCTCTTTGCCAATTTGGATGCCTTAATATCCCTATCTTGCCATATAGCTCTTGCTAAAACTTCCAGCACAATATTGAATAGGAGTGGTGACAAAGGGCATCCTTGTCTGGTTCCTGTTTGCAGAGGGAAAGCTTTCAGTTTCTCTCCATTGAGAGTAATGTAGGCTGTTGGTTTTGTATAAATGCTCTTAATTATGTTGATGAATTTCCCATCAATTCCTACTTTGTTGAGTGTTTATCAGGAATGGATGTTGGATTTTGTAAAGTGCCTCTTCTGCATCAATTGATATGATCATGTAGTTCTTTTATTTTTTCTTATTTATATGGTGGATTACATTGATTGTTTTTCTAATTTTGATCCATCCTTGCATCCCAGACATGAATCCTACTTGGTCATTATTTATTATTTTTTTGATGTGCTGCTGGATTCTGCTACTAAGATTTTGTTGAGAATTTTTGCATGTTCATGAAGGATATTGGTCTATAATGTTCTTTCTTAGTGACGTCCTTCTTCTGGTTTTGATAGGAGGGTTATGCTCCCTTCATAAAATCTATCAGGAAGTTTTCCATCCTCCTCTATATCCTGGAATAATTTGAGTAGAATTGGTGACAGCTCTTCCCTGAATGTTTGGTAGAACTCACCAGTGAAGTAATCTGGGCCTGGACTTGTTTTTTTGGGAGTTTCTTCTTTTGTTATGGGTTTGTTCAGGTTTTCTACTTCACTCTGTAAGTTTAGGTAGATCTTATTTTTCTAAAAATGTATTCATCTCTACTAAGTTTT